GCCAGGCACTCCAAGTTCTGCCACTCTTGGACAGTTGGCACGGGCAGGTTTTGGTTGCTGGCACGGAGAACGTGGGGATGTGCAGCACAACTCCTGCAGGATGGAGGCTCTAAGGGTGGCAAAGCTTTCCCATTAAGGCAGGCAATAAAAAGAACTCCTACAATTCAGCTTAAATCACACGTGGCTCTGGAATTCTGTCACCTTGGATTGTTAAAGGTGTGACTGAAGAAGCACTTTAAAAACTGAGCGTGCCCTTTGTGCCAGGGCAGGCTCACAGTGGGTTACTGTAGGGGGGTACAGACCCTCCCTAGGGCTGCTGGAAGGTGCCAAGGCAGCAAACACCCACCTCCAATAAAATTCAATATGTCAGGGGCTGATAAATAAATCAAATGACTTGGCAAATAAACCTGTGATTCTGTGCCTGCGATCAATCTGGCATTTTCGGGTTATCGTCTCCAAATCAGGAGTGCAGACATCAACATGGCAGCAGAAATGGCAGCAGAAATGGCTCTTCCTCCTTCCCAGCACAGATCAAGTGCAGGAAGGCCATTCCTCCACTGTGACCCCTCTCCTGGAAGGGATGCCCTGAGCACAGCTGAGTTCAGAGGCACCAACCAAGCTTAGTTCTTAGGAAAGAAAAAGGAACTCACATCGGTTCAGGTGTTTAACCCTGCAGGACATCCCTGAACTCTGTATTTCTGTGATTTGGTTTGGCTGCTCCAAATCCTTTCCTTTCAGCCTTGGCTCTCCACACAGATGTCTCAGATCCTTCACACACTGGGTGCAGAACAGAAACCTGCAGGATCCATTCATGTGGAAAACTTACATGAGTTTTGGCTTCATCTTAAACCTGTCCAGTTCCTACTCTTGAATCTTATTAGTGCCTCAAAATTAATTCCAAAATTAGTTTGGATCAATCAAGAAATAGCAAAGCACATCAGATCAAGGAAGTTCTTGAGGTTTTTTACGTCTTGTTCTCCTCAGCACCAGCTTTCAGGGGCAACCTGCCCTCAGCTGTTACAGCCTTTTCTTCCCTCTTTCACCTTTTTCTCCTCACAAACCAACTGTTTATCGACAACCTGGTCTAGGGGGAGGTGCCCCTGCCTGTGACTGAGGGGGTTGGCACTGAATGGTCTTTAAGGTCCTTTCCAACCCTTTAACATTGTATGATTGTATGAAATCCCCCCCTTTCTCGAGTGCTTTCAAGACACAGTTCCCATTTAATCTGAATGTGGTAATACACTTTGACACATCAGGACAGGGCAGAATTTAATTCTAGGACTCTGTGGTAGGAGCTCCCTGAATGCACAACTGGAGATACAAATAAATGGAAGAAGGATTAAAGCTCAAGATCTGAACTGCACTGAGGAGATTAAAGGAAACAAACTGGGGGAAAAGTCAAATATTTGATTCCCCTGGTACAGTCACTGTGTCACTGAAAGACATCAGCTCTCTCCAAAAAATGCATTATACACTAAAAAAAAATATAGAATAAACCCACAGAGCATCAGAAGGATCACGGACACGGAGAGTTTGAAACACTGCTGACAACACAGACCATCCCCAATGCACACACACACCCTGGGAGGTTTGTACATGAGCTCCATATATTTCAAAGTACACACAAACTGCCCGGGTGGCAGGTTGAGAAAATAGGAATACATCTTGGGAAGGGAACGAAAGGGGGGGGAAAAAAAAAAGAAACACAGGAAAACAGGAGTTATTTACATTCAATATTCAGTAGCCTTTAACACCTCTATATACAAACAGACTCTAGGTATGTACAGACTGCGCTGGAGCAGAGGGAAGTTATTCCAAATGCAAAAGGAAAATACAAATCCCCTGGATAATTCACCGGACAAGCGTTTACAGGTTGCAGAGATTTGTTCATTTACAAAGAAAAATACCACACACAGAGTAGACAACTCGCATCTTCAGGGAACTGGGAGTCTTTACAAGAGGTGTGTGTGTTCCCAATGAACCAACCACTGGAAATAGTGGAAAACTTGCTGTGGGAGGAGGATTTTAGGAGGTTACAACTGCATTTCATGCGTCAGACAAAGTTAACAAGTCGTAATTTAGTTGCTGTCAAGGGACAGTTTAGAAAAGAAACCTCAAAACTTGGGTTTCAGTTTTCAGGTCAACTTCAATGTGCACCTTCCCCTGGTGCAGCACGAGTCCAAAACCCCCATGGCACAGAAGCTGATACCATTTTACACCTGGCTTTGCCCCTTTATCAGAGACATCTGCCCTCTGTAAGTTTTATACCCACTCCAGACATAGCAAACATTTTGTACAAAGCAGATCAATACCCCACGAGCAGGAAAATACACAGACCATCCTTGCCTGGTAATTTGTGTGATGTTACAATTGATCTCCTCTCCTGCCCAGGAGGATGTTTGTCCCAGGGGCAGCGATGCAAAGGGACACCACTCTCAGTTCCTCACCCCATCCAGTGCTATTTACACTCCTTTTCTCCCCAGCTCATGCAGGGAACAAACTGCCACCAAACTCCTCACCCCAACCACCTGAGCAGGAATTTTCAAGAGAGAAAACGTTACTGGAGCTTGAAGGCTATTTTTTTTTAAACTTTTTTTGCTGTTTGTTGATCTTTAAGGTGTTTAACAGTCCCGAGCCGTGGCTGCAGCTGTGTTAGTAACTGGTGGCAAAGCCAAGGCAGTGCTGGTGGCAGGTAGCAGAGAGCAGGCAAAGGACAGCAAGTGGAAGAATAGATTTCTGGAATGGCAACAGTTCTTATGGATCTTGGAAGTCCTGATGGCTTTTTCCCCCCCTCCATCTCCAAGGGACATAAATCTAAGAGGCTGAAATAAAATAGTGTGGTTTGCTCATCCCAAAAACCAAAGTGAGCACATCAGGCTGAGAAGAGCACTTAGGAACTGAGTGTGTTTAAATCATTCTTTTCAAAAGATAAAAAAAAAACCCCACTAATTGTGAATCTGCCACTCCTACAACCATCTCACTGAGGATCAAGACCTAAAACGTCTTTGCCATCTCAGATCCCAGATGTTTCTACATCAAATAACAATTAAGAGCCAGAGCAGTCCCGACCCAGCCTGCCCTCACTGGCACTTGGGTTCCCTGTCTGCTGGAGTCGTGATCTGTCAACACACTCCTCAAAACCCCATCTCTGCTCCTGGAATGGATGCCAAATCCACGCACTTGTGGGTATGGAACACAGGAACATCCTTCCCCACACCCTGTGCTCCACAGTTTGCCAGGGCTCTGACAGCACTCAGCACACTTCCCTTGCTCCCAAACCCACCACCTGCACTCCAGGGATTTACAGAGATGCAGCAGGTGCTACAGCAACGAGGAGCAGAGGATTTACTCCAGGTCTGCATTCCTAGTTAGTCCCAAGCGTGAGCAGGGGTTTACTCTCTTGAACAGCTCAGGCTGGAGCTGAGTGAGGTGGGCACATTCCCTTCCCTGCAGAGTGAACACACTCCAGCCTCAAGAGGACAATTCCCTGAAGGAACACACTCCAGCCTCAAGAGGACAATTCCCTGAAGGAACACACTCCAGCCTCAAGCCGTGCCCTGTTACTTACAGAGAAGCTCCTTCTGCCCATGGGAGATGCCACCCCTGCCGTGCTCCTGCTCTGGCAGCTGAGCCTTCCTTAGCACACACATTTGGAGCTCTAATCTGACTTTAGTTCTTGCCTCATTAGCGAATTCAGCTGAGAGATTTGGGCTGCAAGACAGAAGCCTGGTTAGAGCAGCCTGAAACATGCCAAGTCCTGTCAGATTCCAATTGTACAGACTTGTTAGTTTTTTTTGGAATACGGTGATTGCCTAAACAAGACTCCACTTCTTGTTAGTACAATAACTTTTATTTGACATCTACAAGATCATTATCTTGTAGTTTTTTTTTTTTTTTGGACAGGTTTATACAATCTCAATTTTTCAATAGTGCAACCTGTGCAAGCAAGAAATGACAAACATTGTCCTTCACTTTCTTATAAACATCTACTATTATAGGCAAAACAAAACTTACCCATATTATAGATAAGTGACTATTCACATTTGTACATTACAATTTCTTTTAAACAGCTCCAGATAAACTCTACAATGTCTTACAACATATTAAACAGTATTCAAGTTACTGGGTAACAGAAACAGCACATACAGCGGAACCCTCAAGTGTTTCCCATTCTCTAATTTACAGCTCAAGTAAGGTTTCATCTTACAAGTGACAAATTAAATTACGTTAATGAAGTAAAAAATAGAAGATTGTATGCGAGATGGAAGTGAATTTGCACTTAAGTTTCCATAACCACCTCAGATTAAGGAAATGCTTCAATTTAAGGAAAAACAGGCATCCAGCCATCTTTGCAGTACACATTAGGAATACCATTAATACATTAAAAAGGAACTAATTTTAATTTAAGATGTTTCTCACAAAAAGAACATGTCGTAGACTCAAATATATAACCCCCAGGAGAGAACCAGAAAAAAATGCAACACCTGGGTATAAACACTATAAAAATGCAATAACCAATGCTGTACAACTGAGATTGTGTTTCTCTCCGAATTCCTGCCTCGTGTGTTCATCCTGTCCATGCCCGTTTCCAGAGACATGCACTGTCAAACAGAAACTGGGAAGGAACCTGAATGCATGATGTGCAATCTCTAGGTTTTCATGCTTTTGTGTTTTTTGTGTTTTTTTTTTTTTTTTTTTAATAAACTCAAATTGGAAGAGGAAAAACCCCAATATTCTATATTCTCTATATATATAGTCAATACATGCATTCGAGCTCTCCCACAGCAATGGCGTCGATGCACTGCGTTAAACCCTGAGCACTGTATGACGAGATCAAAAAAAAAAAAAAAAAAAAGGAAAGCCTCGCTTGGGGATTTTTTTCAAGCATTTTCAAACAAATCGTGGGTTTTGTAGCTTAAAAGGCCAAAAGTAAAAGCAAACAGGAAGCACTACAGAGAGCAGAAGGAAAGACAGATGCACCACCATAAACAACTGCTGGCTTTCAGTTCTACCAACCTTGTCAGAGCTCTTTATTCCCAAAGTATTTGAGAGCACACAACCGAACTGAAAAAGTTATATTTCTTTGGAATCTGTCCCTGATTTTTTATGCAAGTGATATGCTTTTACAGCCTTTTCCTCCCCAACACCAGAGTCAACACCTGTAGCTCGTCCCCCTCCTATGCGTTGCTGAGGTTGGTGATGCTCTGGGGGTGGTGCTGCTGCCAGATCTGCTGCTGCTGCACCGCCAGCTGCTGCGACTGGTCCGACGTCGACAGGAGGTTCACGAGGGGCGACACGCAGTTTGCAGGAATGATCAGACCTGGGAACAGCAGCCAAGCAGTTGTTTCAGGGACACTTTGCTCATTAAAACCTCGGGCTGGTGATTCCACCATTTAATTTACGCAACGGTCAGCGAGCGTTCGCGGTGTCACGTTTAATCAGGACAGCCACAAGTTCTGCTTCTCACTAAGAGGTTTAGTGAGAAGGCAAGACAATCTTGGAAGTCATTCTGCACAAAAACTAGGAAAACAATTATTTCAAGGGCCTACTATTCTTTTCCAAGAGTGGGGAGAAAAGCGGAGCCATTATGATTTCACAGTAGCTTGGCTGGCAGAAGCCAAAGATGATGTTTTTGTTCTGAGTAAATCAAAAGAACCGAGAGGATAAGTGTCCCAAAGCCTGGCTGAAAACAAATTCTTCCTTCTTTAACCTGCCTCAAAACAGTGTTTGCATTATACTGTTAAAATACAGATGTCAAGAGCTGTAGTTCTGCCCCTCCCCACGGACACCTGACAAGCCCGTTGTCTCAGAAGCCCCTTTTACACAAGTCTGGGACAAAGGGACAACTTCCTCCTCCTCCTCCAAGCAGTAAAGGAGCAGCAGCTGCACTTACCTACGATCCTCTGCCCGTCCTCTGTCCTCAGGCGAACGATCTGCATTTTCACATTAGTGCCACTGACAGAGGCCAGGACTCCCTCCACCTTCGTCCACACGCTGAGCACGGAGCCGCAGAGCACGTAGTAGGTGCGGCAGCGCAGCCCAACCTCGCACACCAGGCCCAGCCCCGCCTTCTTACAGTTGCCTCTCCTACAGACACAGGGAAAAAAACAGCTTCTATACCCAATTTCATCCAAAATGAGAGGTGAAGTTATTGAAGGTGTTACTCAGTCAAGTGGGGGCTGTGGGACACACTAAGGGATGGCAGGGTTGTGATGGTAAGTGCTCTACAAAATGTACAGAGACACTGCCATTCTCAGGGGAATCAGTGATGGCCTGGGAAACGCTGGGATCTGATCAGAGCATTCAGGAGTTTCAATATCAATCTGAAACTTCCATCAGTTGTGCTGCTCCTCGGGGATTCAGCCCTAGCTGAGTTCAGACACAACAGGCAGCACAGGAACAGCTGTTTCTCCCATCCATCTCATCTCTACACGAAGCATAAACACTTCCCCCCACCCCCAAATAACATCTGAACTATCAGATCACAGCAATAGCTCAGAGCAAGACACTCTGAGTACAAGCTACTCCTGGGTCATTGCACTTCTCCTGAGGGTAATTTATACAAGAGCATTCATCCCATCCATCAGGACTCCAGGGGGAGTGCAAAGCTCTGTGTTTTCACTTTAGAGTTGGGTCATTTGACTGGTCATGGGACAATTTCTCTTAGGGAAGAAGGAAGATTTCCCAAGAGTAACAGAAGAAGTGAAAAAGCAGTTGCAATGGAAGTTCCAGTGAAAACACTGACCAGTAGGCGTGGGTGCAGGTGTCTGCAGAGGAATTGTACTGCTCCAACCAGTGTGGCAGAGCATCCTCAGAGGGTACCTGGCAGAGTGGGAGTAGAGGAAAACACATCAATTACCAGAATTATATAAAAACACCAGAAAAAGAAAGCTCTTGTACTTATTTTCAAAATTTTTTTAAAGTTTAAAAAAAGCATAATTTGAATGGTTACCTTCTTATATTTCTTTTTCAGGTCTGCACATGTTTCTAGTTTGAGTTGTTTCCCAGTATTTGGTCTGTATACTAAAAAAAGCTTCTTTTTAGGATTCACTTCTTTTACTAGAATCGCTGTTTTCTTGTTATTTCTTATCTGCAAAAAGAAAGACAAACCAAAAACTTGCTAAATTTAAACATGATGACAATGTTTGATGACAAGTGATTCCATACTGAGTTCTTTCCAGAGTAATGGGAATGTGTAATACCAAAATCAGGAATAATAATGCACCTCTAGAACACAGAGATCCACACTAACCTCACAGGGAAAGTACCTGCTTTCTTGATACAGGTTTAAATAAGAGCTATTATTTTGGGCTCATATTCCTATCAGAAAATATCCTGAGATATAAAAAGGAGCACTTCATACTCATCACTAAAAACAAATTTTAAGTGAATTTATAAGACTTGAAGTATTTTGCAAAACTGAACAGTGACTACTTTGAACAGGGAATTTTTCAGGTTATATTTCCCTGAACATAAACCAAAAGACAAGACCCTTACCTGTAGTGATAAATAAAACCCATCATCTGGACCTGTCTGTTCAGCCCAGAGCTTTGTTGCTTCATCCCAAGACATTCCTCTCTCCACACTGATCTACAAGAGAGTGGGAATATTTGAGTGAGAAAAGACTTTAAAACAGTTCCACACACAGGAACTAAACCTGTTGTTTAATGCTTTTTGCATGTAAGTTTTGATAAAGGTGATGCAGAATAAACTTACTGTGTACAGCTCCACATGTCCAGAGGTAGAATATCCAGGAGTTAAAAACTTCTTAACATCTGCCTTCCTTACTTTCTCATCCCCAGAGCCCAAATCTGAAAAGGAAAGCCCAGTTTTGTTCTGTTTCTCTGTTCTCACACGAGTACAGGAGTTATTTACTCACCAATTATTTACTCACCCAAGATGCCCATGTCATATCTCCCATTCTTTTTAGCATTTTGAATAACTGCATTTAACGTGTCAGAGAAGTACTGGAACAGAGCGTTCTGCTGATGGACTTCCATGCCCAGGATTCGATTCAGAAACTTCCCTATATTGTTATAATCTTAAAAAAAAAAAAAAAGAAATACATGTTTTAGGTCAACAAATATTGAGCACTGATTCAGAGCTTGTTGTTATCAAAGAGTCTTAAGGACTATTTAAATCCAAGAAAACATTAAGCTCCTTTAAAAAGTAATTTTTTAGGTAGTTCAAGATAGAAGAAGTTCAGTGCTGTTGCCAGGAATCCGCTGGCATGGCATGGGATATTCCCAGCAGCATCCCAAGGACACACTGAACACTCCATACCTTTATCAAGGGTCAGGATTCCGGATCTGTCCTCCACATTTATCAGGCCCACGCCGATCAATCCCTGACGGACATCTAGGAAAGGGAAGGAAGTTCAGTCAGAGCTGCTCTGCCATCTAAAAATAACCCAGTGAAGTAACAGCTTGTCTGGCAATGGGATCCAATTCCCACCCCTCAATTCCATGACTTCCAATTCCTACCTAATACATCAATAAGCAAGCCAGGACTTTGCCTTCTGCCCCTGCAGGAAGCACAGGCAGTGAAAAACATCAGTGGCCCCACGGATGAGAACAAGATATCCCAATGGATAATGGGAAAAGGCAGTTAAAGAACTGGATATAACAGGCCAAGCAGATCCAGAACATTCCTTTTATTGAGAGTTCCCAGATCTTATTTCAGACGTGAACTTCAACATTCGAGCCCCGTGCACAGACTCTCCCTGGCTGTTATTCCCACCTGATCAGTTTAAATAGCAACAATGTTTCGTAGCTCTCCAATTATTTGCATTTTCTGCCTCCTGGAGAAGGATCAAAAGGAAGCTATTGCAGCCAGTGAATTATCTTACCTTTGAAGAAGTCTCCAGGAAAATCAGGAGGAGGTGACACCATTGGGGAGTCCAAGTTCACAATGGATTTCATCACAATCTCCAAAGCATTTCTGCCATACTGTGCAAGGAAAAGAAAGTTGTTCTACCAATGGGGTCCAGGGTTTGTGCCCCAAGCACACACAGTTTGATTCACAATAAAACATTTTTCTCTGCAACGGTGAAGGGAATTGGTTATTACCTTTATGTAGTGTAGCTTATAACTGAAAACAAAGCAGCCTTAATTTCAAATTAGGACTGCCAATCTTTCAGCTGTGATGGAAAGGACACACCATTTAGTCAAGAGTTTGTTTGCAAAGGCAGAACAGTGATTTACACACATTTGTGTTCCCTGTGGCTTTGCAAACAGAATTAAGAATGTTACTGGCTGCCTCAGAGAGTGACACAGTTGCAGGTGGGAGATGGGATTGTGGAATAAGCACCACAGCACAGGTTTTCCAACAGAAATAGAACCATCACCTTGTTGTCAAAATTGAATCTGCTGAGGTCTCGAGTTTCTGTGGCCCTTCTGTCTCCGTGGGTGAGGGCTCCCTGTTAAGACACACAGTTGTCATTAAACAGAATTTTAAAGAAAAGAAATCTAAGTTGCGTTTTCTCAAGTGAAGGTTCAGATCACTTGAAACCATCTTACCAAGCTCTCCAGTCTTTTTGCAACTATGGATGCAAATCTTTGCTCCCCTGCCAGTTCAGAAATGAGGAACACGTACTCTGGAGCAGTCACTTGGTTGGATCTGTGAGTTCTTCCTGGATAATTAAATAGAAGCACACATGTTAAATAAATTCCACTTCTTGGAATATTTCTAAAAAACTATGAATTGTGTAGAGTAAGGAAAAAAAGCTAGAACTTAATCCTGCTGAAAATTAAGTTCCTGCTGTATCACAGCCAACAGAAGGCAGCACAGATGCTCCAGAGCTGTGGTAACTTTTATAAAGACACTTGATACATAAATAAAACTCCAAAGCTGCAGCACAGGCTTGTTTGCAAAGTTTCTTTCAAAACTTTCAAGACAATGAGCTGTGACTGCAGATAAAGCTAATTCTGCTCATGGGTAAAGATGACTGGAGGGGTCCTTAAGAGGTCACCTCCTCAGTCTGATGTCCCAGGAGTCAGCAGTACATTCAGTCAGTGTTACTGAGCTTGCTGCAGAAAGGGTACAGACAGAAGTATTTACCAAACTGCTGGATGGCTCTGTCTGCACTCCAGGGCAGCTCCAGGGTCATGTGAACTCTCCGTCTCTGGTTCTTGGCTCTCCGATCTGCCTGCAGGGAGATCCCAGAGCTGGCGGCCTCCGAGATGATGGCGATGTTCTTGGAGCAAGAAAAACACAAACCCAAGATCAAACTTCAGTTTTCAGTGTCATAGGAGGGGGTTTTGCTTTAACTTTTCAACACCATCTCAGTGTAAATGAAAACACGTGGTCCATGCTGCAGTCTTGCCCTCCCAGAGAGCAGGTTTCTCTGATGTTGGCTGGCACTTCAGAAAAAGGAGGGGGACACAGAGACTTGTTCTAATAGTAACAGAAAAGACAAAAAGTTGCTGCTAATGCTGTAGAAGGAGCAGGATTGGGCCACTCTGGTGCCTTCAAAGAATGTAAATGTCTGACGAGTCACTTACAGGAACTGAGTCTTTACCCTCAAGTGTCACAACAGACCACACAAGTTCCACACAGTGACATTTACTCCACTTGCCCTCTTGTGGCAGCACAGACCAAGTGAACCACTGGGAAGGGTTTTCTCTCCTCCTCTTTTTATCAATCCAGTCAGGATGATTTTCTTTCAGAGTGCAATGTAAAGGACAAAAGCCATCACTCTTTTACTTCTCAATCCTTGTTAGGGTTAACAACGTCACCCCTTCCCTGAAAGTTTTTTTCATACCAAGTCAGGGGCTTTCCCCATTTCCCAGTTTCATTATTACCTCTTGGAAGGAGAGGAACACATGGATTTGAGAAACAAAACACACAGCAGTAAACAGAAAATGCTTATTAACTAATAATTATATACAGGCCCTCTCCAGCTGTCCTGTAGCCCCCTTCAGATACTCAAAGACCACAATAAGGTCACTGGAGCTTCTCTTCAATTTTTCACTGCTCCTTCCATAACCAGGCAATGCTTTATCCCAACAAGTCACTGTGCAGTGATGGTTGAGCCACACCTCGAACAGGTTTGTGTGGCTGCAGCATCTGGCACATTCTATCTCTGTAGGGATTACCTTATCTCCATCCATGAACCTCTGCTTTTCGGTGATGTTCAGGATTTCCACAGGCACGTCCAGCTCGGACCTGGACTCGTAGGAAATGCTGCCGTCGTCGTTGCTCACAACGCGGCCCTTGCGGCCCGTCATCTGCCAGGGGAAAGGGAACACAGGCTCATTGTGGCAACACCAAAACCACTCCAGGACCCAAAGCCCCAAGCAGAGTTGTTATTTATTCATCTATCAACCTTCAAATAGAGTCAGTAATTTACTCCAAGTGCAAAAGCACTTTAGAGAACATGGGTTATGTTTTGGTCGATGCCATTCCCCGCTATGTGGAACTCTGATTTAGAGGTAACTCAGGAGACCAAAAGCACAACAAAGCATTTCTGTGTAAAAATGCAGTGTTATGCTACTGTTCATAAGGGATTTACCAGCAGTACTAAGAAAATAAACTCAACAGACAGCTTAGACTGTCACTGATTTTGACAGGGCCTTTTAAATCACAGCAATGTTTCCACCTGATAGAGACAGGCAGCTTGAAGACGTTTCTGAAGTTATTGAGAAAGAGAGAATAATTAATCAGGCTTTTCATTAACACACCCAGGTCCTTAATCTCCATTGTTTTGGAGGATGAACTAAAGCTTCGAATTGACTACAGCCAGTTAAACAGACCCCTGTAAAGCAAGAGGAACTGCTGTGATTTACCCAAAGGGGAACTATCAGGCTGTGAACTAACCCGTCCATCCATTCAGAGCTCCTCTCTCCTAACACAATCTTCAAATTTCTCTAATTCAGAGCAAGGTAACCTCTACTCTCACCACCTGGGAGATTAGTGCCTAGAGCTGACAAACCAGCTCTCTAAAAACACACATTTTTCCACCTGTGCACACCAGCCTACCTCTGCAACATTTTCAGGGCCACCCAGTTCATCTATAAGCTCATCCAGTGTATTGGGTGGAAGATCTTCAGCCAGCTTTTCCAGTTTATCCAGCAGTTCTTTTTTCATTTGTTGGGCCCTTTCCACAGCATCCTGACTCGTTACAAAGCTGCTGTTCGTGTTGCTGTTGGCTGAAATTTAAGAGAGACTCTTTTGAGATTCAGGAACTTTATTGCCCAAGTGCTGAGAAAGTGAATCAACATCAAAGCAGCTCCTCACCAGACGTGTTGGTGCTGGAGGTGGTGGTTCCAACGGTGGAAGTGAAGCAGCTGGGTCGTTTGGATCCCAGGCCAGAGGCTAGTAAGGCACTTTGAATGGAATCTGGGTCTATGCTTTTCTTCTTTTTCTTTTCCTTATTTTTTTTATGCTCTTTTCTAATGAGCCAGGGATCTGAAGTTAAATAAAAAAGTTACAAACAGTTACTGAACAGCCCATCCTTCCCTCTGAAAGAAATACATTCTCACTGCAAAGAGTGACTTAAAGAAATCTGAACTCCAGTGTGTAAAATTTAACTGAAGATTTACCTTCTAGTGCTGATTCCAGACTGGTTGGCACTAAACTACATGCTCAGCAAACACTTATTTGGTGTTCATTGAAATGGTTAGGAGAGATTTTCTGCTTATTATTTGCAAACACAGCTACTCGCTCGATGAAACACAAACTGTCTTACCATCTTCATCATCCTCACTGGATTCATCTCTGAATGGGTTGAAGTCATCATCATCTCCAGAACTCAAGAATTTGGAGCTCTCATTGTCACTTTCTTCGTTGTCTGACGCATCAGACTCACTTTCACTCTCATCAGAGCTGCTGCCTGCAAGGCCCCCAGTCTTGCGAGCTTTCTTGGCCTCTCTGCTTATCTCTTCACCTGCTCCATCACCCCAGAGGAAAAGGAACTCAGTTCAGACTTTGCAATCAACACTTTGAGGTTTGTTACCACTCCTGTACAGAAACTAGAAAAATACTCCACTTCTAAAAACTGAACTGTTTAAAAGAATCTAAGTTTTAAGCAAGATCTCCCTCCCAAGTTTTTTATCACCACCTACTTCTGGGCAAGAAGATAGTCAGCTTGGGAAGGGGGGGTGTGTCAGGCTTCTCTTTACTGAGCCTCAAGAAAAGAAAGCAATTCTTTGTGTGACTGCATCAGGAAATGGTCTGTGCAAGGCATTTTGCACCCATAACAGATCAATCCAATTTTGAGGAAGAAGTGCCCAAAATGTACAGGCTGTGGTGCTTCAGCAGCAGCTTTAAAATCTGCTAATGAAAACCCCCAACTCAGAGACCTGCAATACCTGCTCTTACATGAATGACTGTACAGATATTCACATGTTTTATCCCAAGTTCACCCCCAGGAAGCTCTCAAGTTGCCATTTCCACTCTGGCATTAGTGGAAGAACGGCAGCATTACCTTTTCGTTTCTTGACTTTGCTCTCCTTGCAGGGGCTGTCTCGGGGTGAATTGTTGTTGCTTTGAGCAGTCAAGTCAATGCCCAACAAGCTGAACAGCTTCTTCCTGTCAGGAGCTGGAAAGTGCTTTTCAATAAGAGACTGGAACACTCCTCTGTGTAAGAAAAAAAGGGTTCTTCAGTGGAATCTGCATTTATTTAAAGTACAAAGCTGTAACATTTAACTGCTTGACCTCTCTGAAGAACAATTCCTTGTGAGTGCACACAACTCTGGGTATTATCACCTGTGGTGCTGTATTTGTGACCTTAAAAGCAGGAAACACTTATTTTACAGCACTGGTACTTAAATTCGGTTTTGATAACAAGTGGTATTGCTACTGCCATTTTTTTATTGCTCAGTTTCAGTAACAGATTAATTTAATTTATTAAGATCTCCAGCTTGGCAGCCGCAGGATTGGCTCTGGTTCACCTCAAAGAGGGAAGTCCTGGTTTGCCACCTGCTCTGGTTAAATGCACACTCAGCAAGAATTCCCCTCCTCCCAGCTGGAGTAGAACAGAATGAGCTGTTCCCACCTGACAACATTTTGGGATGCCACAAAAACCAGGAACTAACCAAGGGGTCACCTGAGCAACACTGTCACACCTTAGGAACAGGGAGCTGCAGTAAAGAACAGCAGTACTAAAGATTCCCAACTTTCTGCAAACTGAGGAACCTCTGACACGTGAAAGGACAAATGACACACACACACAAAGCCAAAGAACAGTTCTAAAACTTCAGTCTTACTTTGCTGTGGAAACAAAGTCGTTCAGTTCACCTCCACCTTCCTCCAGAGCTTCCAATGTTCTCGCTTCCCCTGTCGACTGCAGGCCGATGACAACACACTGAGGGACAAACGAACGCCACACACTGTCAACCAGGTCTGAGCTGCAAGTTAATTTTCCCTGAATTCCTGCTCACTAAATAGCTTCAACAGCATAAAGTGCAAAAAATATTTGCATTATATATATATATATATAAATTATCTAATAGCTTTACAATTAGGAAAAATATTGAAAAAAAAGGAGTTTTGATCAACTTACTTTCCCGTTCTTGATTTCCTCCCGAGCAAGCTGCACCACCCTCTTCACTTTGGAGGCTATGCAAAGGTACTTGAAAAACCTCTGGTGTGCTGACCAGAACTGCCCCCACATGGACTTCTTCATGCGCTGCTCGGCGTCGATGAGATCGGCCGCCTGCTGGAACCTCTCCCGAGCGCTGACCCACTGAACAACACCGGGTTAGGGGCTTTACAGGGTGTATTTTGAGGCTCAGAGATACATTGTTTAATAGCCACATAGAGACAGGAGAGTTTAAAGTTATAGTATTAAGGAAACTCAGCAGAACAGCAAAGCTCACAAAAAAAACCCCAAACCAGTTACGGCTTAGTAAATTAAGCAATTACTCTCTTAATAAAAAGCAGATACATTTGCATTACAAGCAGAGCAAACACACACAGTGTTTCCTAATTATCTAGATTCTCCATGAATACATTAAGAGTGCAGAGAGCACTGGCCATAATTAATTATTCAGCACCATCCCAAGAAGAGAAGAACCCACTGCCTGGGTTTGCCTGCATGGGGGCAGAGGAGCAGAAAAGCAGGACCAGCAGAACTGCTTTAACTTGGACAACAGTGACCAAAGTCTCTGCAGTACTGCTGGAAGGCAGGGATTCTGGCAGGTACTGGAAGATCCAACCAAAACTGCACCTTTTATGACTCAGAACAAGAATTAACAGCTTTTGCCAAGTCTTAAAAGGAGAAATCTTTATATTAAAAGAGACAAGGAGATTACACTCCCATCTCTCAACAGGCTATTTGAGGAGCATTCAAGTTTCAACCAACTTCAACCTCTCAGAACTCAACACAGAAAGCAGATTTTGAAAGGGGGCTCTTACCAGTTTCACAGATTTGTTGTACATTTTGACATATTCCTGGGAAAGCAGAACTTCGTCGATTTTGAAAGTTACACCTGAAAAGCTCAGCTGCCTGGCTATGTACATCCCTCTCAGCTTCATATCCATGGCAACGATTTCCATGGCACCAACACCTCTGAAATAAAGGAACACGTTAAGGCCACATTAGAATTTTCAAGAGCAAGGATTTGTTAAGAAATCCCAAACCCACAAGCTCAAATGCTCTATAAGAAAACAGCAAGCTGACAAAAAAGATATCTGGAATTATTAGTGCTGGTTTGTTAAACACATCCAGTCAGGGGGGTTTGAAATTTATAGCCTTTACATAAAACTGTATCCCTTGCCTTGTGAGAATTAAGGGCATCCCAAGAGGTAAAACTCAGTTATTTTTTCCCCCCAGTGACCTAGGAAGCATTTGGAGACAGCACCTTACAAACTGTAAGTGGATAATGGAGTTGGTCCAAATGTTAACAGAATCTTGTAATTTTATAGATTCCACTGAAGGTTTAAAATAATTAATACAAACTGTAGCGAGCCATTCAGATTTATGCTGGCATGAAAATGATTTAATTAGTAGGTAACTTCAGTCCTCTCCAGCAGCAACACACCTTTAGCAATTCCTTGAGAGCACAGAAGTCACCTGCAAAGCTTTGCTGCTCACAGGCTTGGGGAATAATTGCTCATTTGATCCACACTCAGAAATGAAGTGAGACCAGACTTGCACAGTCTGGAGATGGTAAATAAAATGCACACTAAGCTGTCTGAGGTGTTCAACATTCTTTAAGTAGGCAAAACACGTTACATGAAGATGCTCACCTACCAAAGAATGCAGCAGTGGTGTTTTCTGACCCCTCCCGTTTAGTTTTATTGACACATTCTGAGGCAGGAAGCACTTTGCCACAGCAGACACAATCTCCCTGAGCTGGGTTCTTGTGCCAGGAAGCACAAGAAGGAGATTTATTTCCTCCTATGAAATTGCCTGAGCTGATGCATAAACAGAGGCCTCCTGCAAACACTGAGCCATCAACACTGAGCACACACAGGGGGCTTCAGGGGGAGCAGCAAGGTCTTTTCCTTTCCTAACACCCACATTAAGGGGTTTTTTCCCCATCAAGCTTCTAAAGCCCTCATATTTTCCTGGAAGCAAGAGAAACAGGCTATTTTTCACCACCTAAGATAAAGCACATTTCTGGCAGAGTTAGGAAGTTCTTGGTGTGACAGGACATGTCTGCAGAGGACTGAGGGAGTGAAGACAAGGAATGCAGAGCACAGCCAGCCCCAGCTACGTGTGCTCCTGCAGCATGTCTTGGAGATATTTATTACCTTCTTTCCACAGCCTGAATAAAGTCACTGAATTCCCTGAAGGGAGTTCCTTCCCCCCAGATTCCCAGTCGGTTCATGTAGGCCATGTTTCTTGGCTCAGATGCACCTGAGGAGAAGAGCAGAGCGTGAGGCAGTGACATCACAGACACTCAGGGACACCGAGGGCCAAGCCATCAGCACATACCTGTGGCACTGGCATAAACAACCCTGGCTTTGGGAAGTTTATTTTGAAGCTCCAAGACGGCCAGACCTGTCTTTGTTGGTTTGGATGAGCCAACAGGACAGAGATTTTTCGCTTTGTGACACTCGTCAAAGACAATCTGAGCTGTCGTTAAGGAAAACTTCCTCCCGCGTGTTAAGAACAGCAAACAGAAGGCAAGCAAAGCTGCTGATTACAACAGGTAAATTGTAAACTCAAGAAGACATTAGTCAGTCATTTTTCAGTAAAAACCTTGGGAAGACAATTGGGAACACAATTGCCAACACTGGAGTTCTTGAGAATGCTGTTGATACTCAAAAAAAAATATTTTTTTAATAATTCACTGCAGAGAACTTTAGTGTAAAATTAAAATAGGGTGTTAAAGAATCTTATGTTTTGTTGCAGTAAAAGCAGAAGCTTCCCTCTTGTACCTGAGTTGTGTGGCAATAGGATGATTATAATACTTTTGGCACATTGGTTGTAAAACTTCAAGTCTCATGTCAGAGCATGCACACAACTGATTGCCAACACAAACAAAGGACAATACCCACAAATACAAGATTATTTTTGCAGATTTCAGTTCAAACAGAAGTTTGTTAGAATCAAGTGAACTCCAGACAAAGGATACAACTCCATCAAAGTCTTCCCCACACCAGTGAAGCAGCTGCTTTAATCTGGTTTTGTATTTGCCACCAGACTGGCTTTCCCCAATAAGAGAGGAATAGGTGGCAAAGATGACACCTTTCTTCACACTTCCATTGTGTTTGGAAGAGATTTTCCCATACTTGAACTGCAAGAAATGACAGAAATTAATCAAAAGAGATCCCTCCTCAATCCCACCTCCCAGATGGTTCAGGGATGCTGGTGTTAAAGGTTTGAACACTGGGACCCCCCATATCCCACCTCCTGAGTCAGGGCACAGCTACACACAGGGCATATTTTAATTGTTTAAGTTATTTAAATACATCCTTAAGGAACACCAGAGCTGAGGCTTTAAAAGTTTAACAGACGTTCTTTGGCTACACATTTTCCTTGATTTAAATACAACTGAGAGTTTAGTTTCAATGTATCCCTTCAGAGCCAATACTTCCAAAGTGTGTTTACTGCTGCTACCCTAAGTGATGATTTCTGAAGCTTTAGTTTAGAAATTAAGAACTCACAAAGCCAAAATATAACTTAAACCAAACTTGAAGTTCAGTGAATTCAACCAGCAATCACACTTCACAATTTAAGTGGCTAATCCCGAGCACAGCCACAGTCTCCAAAAATAACTGCTCACACCACTGCTGCTTTAACAAATCACCGAGCAAGCCCATTATTCCAGCATTACACACAAAATGTAGTACATCTAAAATGTGCACTGAGAGATAGAAAGGCAAAAATTCAAATGCTACAAAGCTCGAAAGATTTGAAGAGTACTTCAACTTCCTAGAAAATACTCTACGAGCAGTGTCAGTAGCAGCTTGAAGAGTAATTAAAAAAAAAAGCACATGCTAAGACTTAATCCTTACAAGGGGCCTATTTACATGATTAACTTAAAGCTCTGTGTGGTTCTTTGTGAGATTAAGGCCTGTCAAACAAGGCCCAGGCAGCACATTTATTGAAATGAGTCCATTCTTGCTCTCAGAACAATCAACATGCATGACCCTCACACGGCGTACCTGAGGCTGAGCCTCAACCCTACATAGTAAAAAGTTTCCACACCTTGTTTAGTGAATGAACCAAGATGTTTTTGGCTCCAATGTCTCTCAAATCTCGTTCAGCGTCGTATTTCAGATCGTTTGACACGCTGAACCTGAGGACACAAAACAAGGCATGTTCTGTGAGTTGCAGCACCAGCTCAAAAAGCAGTTGCTACAATTTTTGTCAAAGACAGATGACCCTGCATTGAAGTCATCCAGTCACTGCAGCGTCTGCTCTAACACAGCCTCACACACTTACCAGACTGCTCTTTTTCTGCCTAACAAGTAATTTTCATAGATTATTCCAGCTATGGTCCTTCCTTTTCCTACACCAGCACCATCACCTATCAAGAATCCAGCTCTGTCTCCATTGGGCAGGAATGTTTCATGTTGCTGTAGGAAAAAGAACAAAGAACTCGTACCCATCCTCCAGAACACATCACTGGGGATTGTCACACAGGAGCAAACATCAGAAACATCCTATTGGAGAAGACCAGTGGTCCAAGCAAACTTTCCTGGCAGCAGGAAAAGGGGATTTTATTTAAGGAAAGCATATGAGCTTAACTGCTTTATGGGATCCATTCACACCCTTCTTCCCTCAGCACCTGCAACTGCTCTTCATATCCTGTGTCATTCTTTCAGGGCCTTTTCCCATGCCCCAACAAGCACTTCCACAGCCATTGACAGCAGCAAGACCCAGACAGGCAGAGCCTGTGGAAAGCAGGGTTGTTCTACCCATTTTAAAGCAGTTTCTCCTTTCACCAAGTTCCGTTTTGTTTCTTGGGTTTTGTGGGCTATCACTGACTTCTTGATTACGTAAACCTGAATTTCATTCCCAGTCCAAAATTTTTCTCCTCTCCAGCCCCAGCTGCCCCAGCCACACTGGGTTTTTTTCAGTGTGGGCACACTGAAGTTTAATTCAGCAGCAACGTAACAGCCAATCTTGCTCTCCATACCCCTCCCAGTGACGTCAAACGGGGCTCAGTTCTCAGCCTGCTGCAACTGCAGCCATTAAGTTATTTCGGAGAAATAAAACCCGAGTTTTAAGGCAGCTGGAGAACAGCATTATGGAAGTGTTTTAGAAGAAGCTTTCCTAGGTGTATTACCCCCCATTTATCTGATCTGAAGCTCACCTGCCACCTCCTAATGCAACTCAAACCTTTAAGCTCTTATAATTTTATCTCCTTGTAAACCTGACATAGCCATGCCTGTCAGACAGTAGTTTTTCTTCTTAAATTCCCTGTTAGCTTTTAAGCTGCGCTGATATCCGGCCTACCTGGGCTGCATAAGTGATTGCTTCAAGTTGCAGAGCTGACAACCAGCCGCTGTCAATCGTTTCCTCTGATATCGACGTCTGGTACCACACGTCGGGAGGAGTCACGCTGGACAACGAGCTGGTTTCCACCACGGGGTCAGGATGGCGGAGCCCAATTTTTACTGGGTGAAAAGGAAGGGAGAAGATGAAAACATAACCAAGAGCTCTATACTGTTATATTTACCAAAACAAATCACAGTTGCGATTGCAAAGGCTGAAGTCAATAATGTTTCACTGCAATGGTTCGTCAAGTGTTAAATGAAGGAACACGTTAATCTGACTTTTTAACTGCAATCTTTACTTTCTCTTCTCACCACCTTCCCCCAGTTTGTATGAAATGAAGATAAAATTCACTTCATAGAAAATTAAAGTATTTGTGGACTTGTCATGTTTGAGAAAAACCAGTCTGGACCTTGTCTTCCCAAAAGGCCAAAAGCAGCCTCAGGATGCCAGAATCACAAAAGCAACATTCTTCTCTCTATTTATATAGTGCCTTTTTTTAAGCAGAATGAGAGGAGAAAAGACTTAGAACAGACACGGTTTAATTGCTGACAGATCTCATCAGTGGCAATAAAAATTAACTGTTTAGCTACAAACTCCATGCAAATTATTTTGCCTTGCTTATACAGCAGGTCAACAGTGTGCTTAGGAAACAAGAGAGCAGCTTTCTGTCAATGGGTACAATAAAGAGAAAGGAGAAAAGACAGGAGATGGCAATTAACAGCAGTAAAAAGTCACTTAAAAGAAAAACCAACCAAGAACCAGTTCTAAGTAGTCAAGCAGGAACAATGCAGGAAGAATGTGCTCAGGGTGATTTCACACCAAAAGACTCAAAGTAGATTTTTTTAAGTGTAGCAGTGAGCACTTAATCCCCTCACAAAATTTCCTCTGCTGAGGCACACGGCATCTTAACATAGGTAAAAAAAACCAAACCCTCATCTTGGTTCATCAGTCATATCTGTGAAACAAATACTGCTCAAAGATTAACTAAAGAATTCCTCTTCTATTAAAAAAAAAAAATCCACGTATCTTCCAAGCACTGTAGAAGACAAAAAATCTCCTAGGAAAACCTACACCGTATTTTGGTTCTTTTAACTTGACTCAGACAGTAACTTATCTGTTTTCTGCCGTAATTACAACCCAAAATAGCTCTGAAAGCATTTCAGCCTTTGGATGGAACTGAACATCAGCAGGCCGTACGTTTTATTGGCATGTACTCAGCGTAGGTCTCGGCGTGGCCCATTTCCTCTTCATCTTCTTCCTCAGGTTCCTCCTCCTCTTTCACTGCTGGCACTTTCTGCAGGAGAGAAACACCCCTGTTAGTCAAACAGCACACTGTTGATATTCCAGGTCCTGAAAATGAGCAGGAGAAAGGAAACGAGGCCAAACTTACACTGGAGTGTTTTAACACATGGACTGGCTGAACTAGGGAAGAGCTGGGAAAGCCACAGACAGGAGTGGAGATTCCTCAACTCTGAACAACCCCTCAAAGACACAAAGTCAGGGAACTTTGCAAGGAGACCAAGTACCTCAAACTTGCATAGGCAGAATTAACAAGAAACTCTCCTTACAGTGTATTAAAACCAGACTATGACTTCAAGAAAACCTCCCTGAAAACACAACAGCCCTAATTTCCAAGTACTCCCCTCAAGTCTGGTGCAGTTCACACTCTTGATGTGATTTTACAACTTTGGGGAATAGTTAAAACAGTCACAGCTCTATCCAGAAGTCTCTGAAACCTGACAGTTCCCTGTTTTTTACTGTGGCCTTGGTCAGTGTAAGTATTTCAGTATTTGTGAAATACTTGTTAGATGACAAATCAAACATCTCCCACAATTATTAATATTTAAGACAAAAGTGATCTCAAAAGCCTTCTCTATGCCAGTGACTGAGGAGCAGAGCTCTTCCCAAATTCAGCCTGAGTCAAGCTATCAGTGAAGATGCCAAAACTCAATTACAGCATCAGACTGTAATTTTATTACATTGAGAAAATTGAAAGATACTCAATTTACATCTTCAGTCCGACCGCCCCAAGGACAGCTGTGCCAGGGGAACTCCTCCAGCTCTCCCCACTGGAAAACAGCTATTTCCAAAGAAAATGTGATGTGCTTATCACCTTTAATCAGCACATCCCTCTCCACACACACAGGGAGGTTCTGTTAAGAGCAGTAACTTGTTGCAGTTGTCATTTACTCAGCAGTCTGCGCTCCACACAGCTGTGGGGTTTAGTCATCTAACCAAGTTTCTAGTGAAGAAATTGAGCTTTTGAACAAACAGCTGCACTTGGCGATTCCACCACGCACAAGGCAGGGATGAGTAACCCTGAAACTGGCCCCAGGTGCTTGTGGCCAGTGACACACTCATCTGGCAAATTCATCTCCACCACTTACCACAGTAGGTGAGAAACTTCTCATCTTAATGTCATTTATCCATATTCTTGCTACCTCTTTCGTGGAAGCCTCCTTCTTCACTGCCCCATTGCTTAGGTCAGCTGCAAAAGAAAAGCTGTGGTTTAACAGGAATTCCCTCCAAACAGCAATTCAACTTTTAGAAGTTTAAAATACCAAGTAGGACACTGATGCTTCAACACAATCCATCGATGCTTCTGAGTAAATTACCAAGTCCAAGCAAGGAGTTAAATCCTGTTACTCCTTCAACTGAAGGAGCTCTCCATGCAGTGCCACTGACAGTTGTGTATTAGTTTCAATATTTAACACATTATTTTCCACCTTCACCAAATCTATACACAGGATTTCCAGCTACCCCATCTTGTGAGCTTTTGAAGTTGAACAACAAACCAAAAAGCCCGGTGTTTCAACAGAAATGAACTCACCTGGTGCTCTGGTGGCATTTACCACCTTAGGAGAAACTACAAGTAGTTCTGTCAAACAAAAAGTCAACACTTTGGACTCAACTGTTTAAAGTTTATAACAGGATCTTTTAAGAGGACCATTTATTAACTTTCCTGGCCTCAGTCACATTTGGAAGCAACTGGTGATGGGGCTCAGTACAGAACAACAGTGATTTACACAAGGATATATGTAAAACATTGAAACCAGCTGTCAAGCTTCCATTGTGGAATAAATTTAGCATAATTGCCCCCAAAACCAATTAAGACACATGCACAAATAAAAATTTTCCTCAAAGACATTGCATAATTCAGTTTTTTATTATTTTTCCAATCTAGAACTCCTGCTGCCTGAATTAGATGAGAAGACCATGTTTCCTTTCAACAGCTTCTCTGCCTTCCAATTTGCCACAGGTATTGTCAATTTTTTTTATAAAGCATAAAAAAAAATACAGAAACATAAGAACACAAGATTAGAAATGCAGTTCTGGAATTGCATGTCTCCTTTTCACTTCATACACAAGCTACAGAATCAATATTTTCTACAGCTGTGCCACTGTAACAATTTGTGAATTGTTGTCACCTATTCTGTGCCTCTGTGAGTTCTCACTTCACACTGAGTGGATAAGGCAGGCCTGGAAAACCTTCTCTCCTCTTCCTCACTCCTTCACCCTCCACCCCAACTTCAGCTGGTGTCTGAACTTTAAATTTGTCAACCACTCCCTAAGAGCAGGCAGTGAAATGAGCCACATTCTGCTTTTTGTTTCGGTTCTCCCAGGCAGCTCATTTACCGCACTCTCCATCTGCATATGGAAAATAGGTTATGCCAACCACACCTAGAAAATCAGCCAAGCTCATTCCAGACACAATGAAAATAGAGAAATCCAGACAAAGCCCGTGCACCTGTCAGAGAAACAACAGCAGAGAGATTTTCTAACTAGTCTGGCCTTAACCTAGAGCTGAAATCAGAGCAGCAGGAAAGAATTCAATCAGAGTTTCCCACACATGCAGCTTTTCCCTTATATTAAGTGGCCCACATGTCAGAAATAACACACAAGGAAGTCTTATGAAGGGAATCATAAAATGAAGATGGGAGCGTGGTAATTAAATAGTTGTGGCAGTTAACACAACATTTCAGAGGTGACAGGAAAAGGAACAAGTTTTTAGGACTCAAGTTTTTAAACAATAGATCTGATGCCTCCAGTGAAACAGAGGGACAGATTTTTCCCTTTGCAGGAGACACTTCACAGACATCTTTTCCCAGGAGTAGCAGCACGTGCTACAAATGGAGTTTGGAAGATGCCAGACAAGGTTCTAGTTTGTTACAGTTGCACAGCCAGTACAGAGCAGAACAGGAACTGATGCAGACTCCAGTAAGATGGTTAATTGATTTCAGTAATGCTCAGAGATTAATTTTACCAATTTTCCAGCTGCAATCAAAAATGTCATTTTCCTCATTCCATGAAGTAAATCAAGAGCTCTATTTTTAAGAAGCCTGTTGTTTTATACTCCTTCACCCTGAACTGAACACTGAGAGAGTTAAAATGAATTCTATCAGTTTTTCCTCACCCACTTCATTTCACCATGGTATTGTACCAATCAGTGAAAATCCGAGATCATTATTACACTATTTAAAAAAAAAAAAAGAAGAAAACTCACTTGCTGCTGTTGCTACTGGTTGGGCAATATTAGGAGGTGGCTTCAGCTTCATGAGTTCATTAAGACTGTTATTCTTGAGCAGATCTTTCAGCTGAATCTGGTCCTTGGAAGGTGCAGTGCTCAAGGCATTCCTGACTGCTGGTGCTGCCACCGAGGGCCGGGTGGTTGTGCTGGTCTGGATGATCTTGGCTACGGTGATGGTCTGTCTGGTGGTGGTGACAGGCGTGGTTTTTGTCATCACAATCGTAGTCCCCAAGGTTGGAAGTTGATTGATTTGATTCAGCACAAAGGTTGTGGTGGATGGTGGTTGCTGGTAACGAAGAATGAGGGAGATTTTCAGAAAACAGTAAAAAGAACCCAGCAGACTTTATTAGCCTTTCATCAACAGGACACACCAGGTTTTAGAAGACACTTGTAATAAGAAATGACTTCAAATAACATGCTGAAGATGCCAGAGTGATTATCTTGTGCTGCAAGAAGTGTCTTTCAATATATTGCTGCACATATTTAGGAAGGGTATTTTTAAATTTTATTTTAAGGAAAAGGAAAATAATTAAAAAACTCCCACAGGATGAAGGATTCATCACCCAGGTCCAAGACATGACCACTACAGGTATAGGAACCCTGAGGAGGAGGTGCTCCAGGAGCTGGAGCAGATCCCCCTGGAGCCCATGGCAAGGCAGGATGTCTCCCTGCAGCCCGTGCAGGTGACAGTGGAGCAGAGATCCACCTGCAGCCCAACCTGGACCCCCCACCAGGGCAGGGGGATGTGCCCAAAGGATGCTGTGACACCACGGAGAGGAGTCCATACCAGAAAAGGATTTCATGGAGAACTTCCCAGCCCATGGGAAGGACCCACACTGGAAAAGTTTGTGAAGGAGCTGCAGGAGCAGGGGAAAAGCACGAGGAAGGAGGAGTGGCAAAGACAACATACGATGATGTCAGGAGTGAAGTTGAGCCCGGGACAAAGGGAGGAGTGGGGGGAAGGTATTTTTAGATTTGTTCTTATTTCTCATTATCCTACTCCATTGTCAGCTGGCAATAAATTCATGTCCCCGAGCTGAGGTTGGTCTGCCCAAGACAAATTGCTGATCTCCCTGTCCCTGGCTCAACTCAGGAATCATTCACCTCAGGATTTGAGCTCTGGGCTCACTGAGGAGGGGAAGGGATCAAGGAGCTGGGTGCCCAGCCCAGGTGAACCCACCACACCCCACACCCCCAAATCCTGGAGCAGCAGTTCTCACCCGAACATTTAATAAGGCTGGAGTAGAAACAGTCTCTGGTTCTTGTTTCACAGCAGCTGCAGCCTCAGTCTCCAAGCCCAGCTCTAATGCACTGAGAGGTACTGACTGCAGAGACAGAGTAGCAGGAAACAAGTTAGCAGGAATAAAACCTCCAGGGTTCTGTTCCCAGGCTGAAAGTGTTACAATCTGGCAGATTGAAGGCTATCCTGGAGCTTAAACTCGGCGTTGTGTTACAGTTTTTGTGCATTTTATAGCACAGAAGCCAGACTGCAGTGACAGAAGAGTTCTCAACCATCACCTCATGGCCAGAAATCAAACTTATTTATGTTTGTACTGACCTGAAGTGTTTCAAATTGTTTTTTGTATAAAGGTTCAAAATGAAGCAGCAAGTTGTTTTCCCACCTCAGTACTACCTAACAAGAAGTTCATGAAAACTCCACGTTCTTGAAGCATTTGCTGTGCCCACCATCCTCCCCAGCCCTCCCCACACACCCCAAGCCCAAGCTCCCCTGTCCTCCTGTCTGAACCTGCTGAACAGCTGGACTGGGCGCTGGATTGGCAAGAACCACATCTGGAGAGTCGATATCAAAGAGATCATTTGGACTGATCCCACTCTCACTCAAAGCAGCAAGCAACAGATCCTGTCCTGGCTCCACCATCTCTGAAAAGGAAAGAGAAACACCACTGTAAATACAAGTTACATTTAAGTTTCATCTATTTTTCTGCACACACAGCACTCCCTTTCCTGGATTTAGTGCAGTCTCCTGTAAACAGTTTCACTTTCTAGATTTGCTCTGCTTCTTTTGTTTGTAGCTTTTCCCTCTGTTTTGTTTTTAAAAATATTTTCAATACACTCCCACTTAAAAGCAGAAAGAATTAAACAATTTACTGAAATGTTATCGTGGCCATAAAGTTCAAAAGACACCTTTTCTAGTCTTTGTTGCACTTGATTTTCAAGCATCACAAGCCACACCAAAAGCAGAACTGGTGAGAGCGTGTTATGCTAATGATGTGTCTTTGTCAGTGAAGCCACGGCAGGAGGGAAGCACAATTAAAACTCATTTACTTTATCTCCTAACAAGTTGGTGATAAAGAGCTTAAGGAAAGCTTTTCTTTCTGGCTTGCTGTTACATTTGGTTACATTCATTCACCGGAGAACTTTTGTTTGGGTGGTGGAAAGAGCAGAACGTGCCACTATTGGAGTGTGTAACTCCACCTTAAATAGGACACCACCAGCAGGTCACAGGCTCCTTTGTGTGGAGGACAAGCAAAATTAATTTCAAAAAGCTATTCTAGACAGCGTCAAAACTTATTAAAGAGCCAAATGCTCCCTGTTTAAAGACGAAGGGGGAAGATAACGTGTTTCTCTTGCTTAAGAAAGAAACCCTGCACGAGTATTAAGATAAAAATGAAATGATCCCACAGAACTCGAGCTGTTGCTTTTACAGGTTAAGATGCACCTCCAGTAGATCTTCACCCCCTTAACACCCACTGGTAACAAACCCCAAACCTCACTGAAGCCAAACACCTACTCTAAAGCAGGTAAGAGGAGCAGAATATTTGCTGGCGTTTTAGATATTCCTTCCCAAAGAGCATTCCCTGGCTTGTCCCTGGTGCAGGCACAGCCCAACACCTCCAGCTGGCTGGGCACACGGATCCCTCAGCACGTTTGGCAGAACAGGTAATTCTTGTAAGAACTCAAGCCTGGGGCACTCCATTCTTATTCTTCCTGGTTTTAGTCTGTCCAAGAGCAGGGAGAAACCTTCCCTCGGTGCAGTCACACCAAAGGGGGAGCACCACGAGTGAAGCACGGGCTCTCAGCTACTGGGACAAGGGGAGGACACATTTTTAAGCATCAAAGAATACCAAAGTCACAAACACTTGGCAGGATTGCCACTGACCACACACAGCCCCATCCAACACCACTGGCTTGTCAGAACCAGACTCTTCATTTTAAAGGCATTTCAGGTGATCAGATAAACTGGTAGGATAGCCTGGTTTGTAGTTAGCAGGTACAGAAGATTTTAAGAAACGTTAAGACACCAAGCAGATTGAATGGACTCTCCAGCCTCTCTCCTGGAAGCCTAAACCGGTCAATAAAAATGCCTAAGAAGTGACATTCATCTCCCCCTTTCAGAAGGATTGAGTTTCCCATCTCAAAAAAGGGGATTATTTATATTAATGGGGTAGCATAAAGCCTTCATTTTCATCAGGCTCAAATCCTCCCAGTGACCATCTCATCTAAGTTTAGGCACAGCATTGTTCACTACCTGCAAACAGGTGAGGGCAGGAAGGATCAAGAGTGTAGAGGAAGTTTTTGCTCATCAGTAATTTCTGGTGTTCAGAACTCAGGGCAGCCACTGAAGGTGAATTTCTCCACAGAAGGGGAATTCACACGAGTCACCCCAGCAAAGAGAAGCTCCCAAACACTTCACAATCACAGCTTCCCAGGGTCCATCGGGAAGAGGCATCAACACCCTTCCACAAAGTACTCAAAGGACAAATAACCTCAAATCTCTCAGTGCCCAACAGAAGAAAGTGTCACTTTGCTCTGGGTGTAGTTTTGATCTCTAAAGGCAGATGACCAACACTTGGTTGGGAGAGAAGTGGCTGTACTGAACAGAGGCACAGAAAGGCAGAAGCTTGGGAATGTTCGCTTGGAGAGAAACAATTCCTGCAGGTGACTTCTGGTCTGCTCTCCCAAGGCACAAAGGAAAGGCCTTTCTATGAAGTTGAGACTCAAAACAAAACCAAGGCTGGGAAAAAAAACCCTCACACCAACCCCACACGAACACACTTTCCCCAGCCATCTGAAAATGGTGTCACCACCCACCAAGTGTCTTTTAAGTCAAGTTTAACACATCCACAGTGACACTGAACTGGACATTTTTAACCTCTAAACCCACGAGGGCTCAGATACCTTAAAACAATTTCCCAGAATTCAGAAGTTAACGCTTTAATTCCTTATTTCCAAGTTTTCACCAGATGACTGGAGAGGGGAACTAGCAAAGCAATTCCTACAGTTCCAGGGTTATCTCCAGTTTGGAAGGATCCCTTTTCACTCAGAAGTCCCCCAGCTGCATCTCTCTCATGATAACCCCAATTTTAAGTCTTAAAAATTGGTGGTTGCTCACAACCCAGCAAAAAGTTCAGTAAAACAACAGCAATTGTTTGGCTGTCAGTCTGGACAATGAAAGTTTGAGTAGTTTCAGTTATTTTGTTTCTGTGCACTGGGAACAAAGCTGCATTGTCCGGAACAAAAGGAATTCTGAACTTCCAGAATTTTTACATTAAAAGTCACTGAATACTTCACACCAATTTTAGGCTTTGTGTAACTTCCAAGCCCCAGTGCTGCCCACCCTCCTTGTTTTAATTTAGCAGGGGAATTAAACGAGGAGAAAAATACAGGAGAGGCTGCGTTGTGGTAGCTGAGTTTATTTTCTGTACCACACGCTGGTTAAGACTAAAACATTATCAGGCTGAAGCAGCTCCATAATCTTGCAAGGTAGGAGGTTCCTCAGTGAAGTGAAAAGTGACTTTATCAAGCTCTGCAGCTCAGCCTTGGCAACACTATATAAGGACCTGTTTGCCACATCTTCAAAAATCTCCAGAAGAAAATACTTATTAAAAAGTTGTGAATATTACAAGCTGTTCCCTCAGCATTTCATCACTCCAAGAACTGTTTTGAGTGTGCAGAATCTTGCAGATAAGATTGTCTATGTTTAGTGAGGTTGGCCAATGTCACTGAGCGAGAATCAACCTATGAAATAAAACTAAAAAAAAAAAAAAAAAGTGTATTTATAAAATTTCAACAGTAGTAGTTTCTCAACTATTTTCTTTGTTAAGAAAAAAAATATAAACTGCTGCCATTTCGAGAAGGGCCACCAAAAACACATCAAGCGTTTCTCTGAGGTGCTCTCCTGCTGAAAAATACAGCCTAAAACTTGGATAGAAGGACAGTTTTGCTACCACTCTTTGGTATTATGGAAATAATTTCTGATTTAAAGACACAAAACCAGCATGCAATGTTTAATATTATGTCATGTATCCATGCCAACCTGGCTCTGTCTCTCCTTCCATTTTAGCTTTGGTACAAAGAAGCAAAACAAAAAAAAAAAAAAAGGAGGAAAAAAAAAAAGATTTTGAAACACATGTCGAGCAACCTGCTCTGTTTGCCCTGAGGAAGAGAATGGTTGAATCCCAAACAATGAGAAGGCTTTGGATTTTCAGCTCTGGGAGTTACAGATTGGAACACTGCATGCCTGAAGTGCTTATTTAAAAGCCATTATCACTTCCAGGATCACAGGTGAGTCCAAATCAAACATCACCATCGAGCAGGCCCAGCTATTCCCAAACCCTCTGGACACCTGGGCTCTGTCCCTGGCCTGGGACACCCATGGGATTGGAGTTCATTGGAAGGGTTTATCCCCTTGGATTTTTGAGGAATACACATCACCTGGAAGCCATTTCAAATATCACACAAATGCTGAAGTTGGAGAGACAAGACAGACATTCCCCCAAATTCCCTGATTGTCTGGAGTGAGTTACTAACGACCTGGAAGCTCCACATCTCCCTTTGCAGCCTCTCCCAGCACAGGGTTGAGGGCTGGGAACCCCCAACCTCACACAGCAGCATTCCCGGGATATCCACGAGGTTCATCTCCCAGCTTTTGGCTCCAGAGGGCAACCTGGGCAACAACACAATAAAAAAACCCCAACCAACCCAAGCCAACCTCTCCTGGCCCTTTCCAAGTCTCCATCCAATCAGAGAGTAAACCCTAATTACTGAACTGCTCATCCCTCCCTGCCTTCACCCCAACATCAGTGGTTAATGTTTCATTTACATGGGCAAGGTTGTTTCCACAAAAACCAGCAGTTAATCCCATCCTGGAAAAAAATCCTACCCATTTTTCCAACGCTGGTTACCTCTCTAAAGTCAAAGCTTGCAAGGACACAAGGGACAGTTCAGGGTGCTGTGGGATTACACCCAGAGCTCTTTAATGACTGCTCTGCACAATTTACAGCACTCAGGATACACTTCTGAAAACGGGAAAATCTTCAAATATTCGGAGACTTCACAGGGCAATGATTGGGCATGAAATCAGCTTTTAGGCTAAATGGCTGGAGGTGATAATTTCACCAGCAGTGAAAGTTTTTAAGAAGTGAAAAGTCAAGGAGATGAGAGCAGCAGGAGAGCACTACAACCTCTCCTCAGCTCTGGCCTGGGAGCCAGTTCCAGGTGCACCTCAGAGCACAAAAAAGTGCATTCCCTGTATCCCTGACCTGCTCCAGTGGCTTCTGGAGCAGCTCTCAGCCACTTCTGAAAGCAAAGAAATTATCTGGACACCAAGACAAACTGCCCACATCTTATTTCTAAAGACTAAGATTGCATACAAATAGAACATCTCGTGGTTGCAAGGCAGACACAGAAAACCAATCCAAATGTCACGTTGTTACACAATTTCTGCCATAATAAATTCTCTGCTTTACCTCATCAACTATAGCTCTTCAATTTTCAGGGAGAGTAGCTTGAAAAACACTCAGGTACTGAAATCATTTTAATCCAGACCCAACCTTAGTATTCTAAAGCCAAGCAGATTATCACTGAGTTAATTCTTAACTTTAGATGGTGTCATTTGGTCACACTAATAATTTTATTTACTTGCTTTGGAGTTATCTAATAGATTAGGAGTATTTTTTTTAAGCATTTCAAAAACTAACCTCATCTTTAACAGCTACCAAATATCTAAAACCAGCCCATGAGTACCTGGAAGGAAGCACAATTTATGCTCTCAAACTCAGCGTGAAACTTGGGCAGCTAAAAATAATAAAGAAACAACCTTAAAAAATATAAGAAAAACCCCACAAGGAAGAAAAACCCACAAGGCCTCTTCCCCTTCAGACTTTAGGGGCATTTCTACGTTAAACAATTACTCACCCTAGCAACCTGTGTTTGAGTCCCTGGACTTTGAGGCCGTGTCTGTCGCTGCGGTTCAGCTCCCCGGGGGCTGCAGGGCCCCGGGAAGGCTCTGCCGGGCGGGGAAGCCCCGGGAGGGGCGGCGGGAGGGCCGGAGGGTGGGCGGCTGCAGCCCTGCCACCTTCCCACCAACACGTGTTCGCGACATAAACTTCCGGGTTGGGGCCAGAATCGGCTGCGTAATCGTGTCCCAGGCGCGACTTTTTTGTTTCCAGACCTTCACCTCTTTGAACGTCCCTCCAGCAGCGCCGCGATCGCGGGGGAGGGCGGGAGGGCTCCGTCTCACGGCGGCTCCCGGAGCCGCTCCGGCTCCATAAATCAAACCCCCCCATCCCCCCGTGACCAGCCCCGGCAATCCCGGCCGCGCAAGGAGCTCACAAAGGCGCGGGCCAGGCGGGGGGCTCCGCGGGGCGGGAGGGCGGCCAAACCCCCCCCGCCGCCCCCGCCCCTGCCACGGAACCGGCTCCGCGGGGCCCTCGGGGGGCTCCGCCGCCCACCCCCGGTCGCCGAGTTCGCGGGACTCCCGGGGCTCGGCCGGGGCGGTGGCGGCGCCTCCCTCGCCCCGGGGCCGCCCCCGGCCCGCCGGGACCCCCGCGGGGGCGGCGGCGCGGCCTTCCCGGGGCTGAGGCGACAAGCGAGACGCGGGGCCGCTCCCGACACGGCGCGTCCCCCCCCCCCCCCAGCCCGGACACCCCCGCGGGCCGCGCTGAGGGGCTGTGGGGAGGGAACCCCGCGGGGAGGCCGCGGGGGCGCGGCCGGAGGCGGCCGAACGGGCGCGGCGCCAGGCGCTACGGGCGGCGCGAGACTCACTCTCTGTGGCGCTCGGTGCTCCCGCGGGCTCCCGAAAGTGTCCGCCGGCCCCGCCGCCCGCCGCTCTCTAACTCACGGCCGCCATCTTTGCCCTCCCTCCCCTCACAGGGAGGGGGGGGGCGCCGGGGCCGCCCGCACCACGTGACCCGCGCGCCGCGCCTCCCCCCCCCGTCCTCCGCGCGCGCTCCCCTCTCTCCCACGTGACCCCACGAGCCACCGCCCCGCCGCTGGCGCGCGCTCGGCGCCTCCACGTGACCCCCCGCGCGCCCCCCCCGCGCGGCCTCCCCGGTCACGTGGTGGCCGCCGCCGTCTCGCGCCCGCCCCCCCCCCTCACCCCCGGCCCCCCCCTCACACCGGCGGGCCTTGCCGCGCGCTGGCCGCTCTCCCCCGCCACCGGACATGCCGCTTCCAGCAACGCCGAGGCAGCGAGTTTCTCCCCCCTCTAAAAAAAAAAAAAAAAAAAAAAACAGCATATCCACCGTCCTTAAAATAAGCGACGTCCCCGCGGGAAGGCCCCGCCCGCAGTCGAGCCTCGGCGCTCCGGGACCGGTTCCCGGTGGGTGAGGGGGTGTGGAGGGGGGGGGAGGGGAAGGCGGAGGCGAACGGCTGCGAGCGGTCACGTGACCGCGGCCGCGCCAAGATGGCGGCCGGCGGCGAGAACGCGGCGGCGCGTTCTCGCGAGATCTGGCGTTTCTCGCTGCATCACGGGCGGGGAGGGGGGAGGATCGTGACGAGACCGCGCGTGCGCGTGGCCGCGAGGAGGAGGGGTCGAGCGCGCGCCCCCGCCTAAGGCGGCGATGGCGGGAGCAGCCTCTGCAGCCGCTGCATGAGGGAAAAATGGCGTTATCTAAGCCTTCCCCCGGCCCTGTTCCCGTCTGGCGGCCCTTCTGTCCCTTCCCGTCCCGCCGCGCTTGGTGCGAACGCTCCGAGGCGGCTCCGAGTCCCCCGGCGCGGCCGGGGCCGCCCCGCCCTCAGGGCACCCTCACACCGGCTCCTCACCAACAAGTGTCCTGGGAGCTGCCCCAGCACGGAGGGACATCCCTGCCGACACCCCCGGCAGTGCCGCATTCCTGAGGATGTGCTGGCACGGGAGTTTCCCCTTTCCAACATCTTGCGAGCTGCTGATGTGAAATTCGCTGCTGCAAAGAGTGGAAAGCCCATGACCACTTCATGCAGGTTTTACATCTGGAGAGATCTTTTTCACTCTTGAGGCCCTCAGACTGACAAGATTTTTGCCAAAAGAGACAGCCTTCCTTTAAAATGCTTTCCCGGTTGTGTAAGAATAGGAAAATTTGTCAGAACTTGCACACTGAACCGAAGCAAGACCTGAATGAAGTGTGGGCAATCACAAAATTCCTTAGAATGTCCAGTACTGCTCGTTTCAATTTTATGCAAGTTTGCTTATTTTATCATGAGATCAACTTAACGAGGATTAAAATAACCAATAAGGGATTAGACAGATTAAGGCTAAGCTATTTAAAGACAAAGCAACATTAATTAAACTGACCTAAGTAATTCAGATTAATCAGTGATGCTTTGGGTGGAGAAAAAGACGCCAGAAGTGTGGCCAGAGATGAGAAGAACAACTGAAAAGGCAGCTTTTATTTTGGTTATTGCCCTCTCCACACTTCAGAGGAACGTTACATCTCAACAGCTCTGTACAATCATGACGAGAAAGTGAGGGGTTTGATGGCTTGAGCTGAAAAGAGAGTTCCCTGTGAGGTCTGTGAGCAGCATTCGTGATCATCCTCGCCTGGCAGAGGTGAGTAAATCCCACTGGTGGAAATGCTGCTTTCCATTGGCAATGTGCAATCAGCACACACAGAGGTGTCTGCAGGCCCCTGTTTCAGAGGATTCTGCATCTAATTCACAGATCTCACTGCATTTTTTAGTCAGGGGTGATTGTTTTAAATAACTGGTACGTTTTATTCTGAGTGTGTTTTTATTTTATAATCTGTCAAATGCAGTGAGCACCTACTGGCGTTTCACTATGTGGCTTTGTCAAATAATGTTGCTTAAGGGACTCTCAGGGCATTGTTTTCACTTGATTTCCAGTGTCTGAAGCACAAATTGTGGGGATTTCATAGAAATTTGTGCAAGTGCTGTCATGTTTACTCAGCTGCAAATATGACAGGTGCTGTGTGAGAACTCGCTCTCAGGTGGGAATATCTACCAAGCATCTTGTTGGTATATCTGAAAGAAATTGAAACTATGATTTCAAAGGCAACCAGTCCTAAAAAATACGATTTTTTATAAACCGTGTGAAGCGTTCATATCATCATCATCATGGCTGGGCTTCGCGAACGAAGATTTGAGAGGGGCTCTACCCACGCTTGCTACAAGC